GTTGACATCCAACTTGTACGTATTGTTCGTATTCATGTTGAAGCTCTCAACGAACTTTAAGTTCTTCTTAAAGATCTCGAACCTACTCGTTTTCTCAGAATCGTCCGAGTAAACGCGATTGAATCGAGACATCCATTGCTCATGTTTTTCAATAGCAGAAGCTTCAAAGAGCCCCCCCACGAGATGTGGCTCCTGAAGTTCTGGAACTCAAAAGAATGGCTAGAATCAAGAAAATGATCGAAGCCATTCTCCTATAGAAAGAAATGTTTTGATAGAAGTGTTTAGGTTTATATGACTTGGTTGCTAAGAAAGGCGTATGAGAAGGTGCTATATATTGAGTTGTGAACTGTGAAGTGTGAACTTGGTTGCGTGTTTAATGTGTTTTCTTTTTAAACTTTGAATATTCTACGAGGTTTTGATAGCTTCCTTGCCAATTTCTTCCACATGCTACGACGTCAAGTCAATGGCGTTATTTGTTTACTTCTGAGAAGAAATTAAACCAACAATGATTTCGATGGGTTACCGCAGTTTACAAGCTTTTTGGGGTTCGAACTTTACATGAACTCAGGCTAAAGGCCATGACACCAATCAGTAGCCCACGCACAATGACTTCCAAAGGAGAATCAAACCCGAAACCGTAACAAGTTTACGTCATAAACCATGTACCTTCAACTATACGTACAAGTTTATATTCTCAAATATATATACGTATTTATTCTTATAAAAAGAATCTAATTGCTTTGTTTATAGTTGAAGGTATGGTCCGTTTTAAATTACTGATACCACGTTTAATCATGTGTATTCCTATATATGTGTTTCATGCTTTCCACTTTAAAACTAAAGTATTCTACTCTTCTACGAATTTTCAAACATCATACTTTCCATTTTAAATCTAAACTAATTTCTCGTTTTTTTTTTTTTTTTTTTTAATAACTTATAGTCTCCTTTTAAATTCTAAAAATTGTGACGTTATTATAGTGACTGAAGCTCATAGAGCCTAAGACACTCCAAACAAAACCCAAGTTATACAGTCAGTGCCGTGACAAGCGAAAACCAACTATACCGGGTCGTATCAAAAGATGAAAAGGAAGAAGGAGAACCATATAACAAATTTTACTGTGTTGTTTTTTCCATATTTTTTTTAATATAAATATCACTATTGCCTCAGAAATCTGATCTAATATCGATCTAAATCGAAGCATTAGTTTCCAATAATAAACCCCTATGAAGTATGAAATATGATAGTGACTTTGAATATAACCAGATTACCCGAGAATATTTGAATTGTGGACTCCAAAATTTTAAGTGAATTAATGGAATTTAGAACGTTTCAGTCAACTTTCACATCAATGGAACATACTTTTTATTAGATTCAGTTTAGACTCTTCAAGTTTGATTGGAGTTAATATAGTCGTTAAATCTTTTTTTTTTTTTTGTAAACCAGTCGTTTAATCAAATATATATATCCCATATATATATAACTCGAATTTGAAACAATAGGGTTTTGACTTTCTTTCCTCTTCAGTCTTCTGGATCTTCTTCTCCACCTGAAGTATCAGTATAAAAAGAAATGTTAGATGATTAATAAAATTGTTACTACTTAGCTTTCTTAATTTCATCGCATATGCAAAACATAAAATATAGATGGACCAAAACATGCACATGTCACGAATAGAAGTAGAAAGCTAATATGATCATTTTCTTTTTAAGGAAAAAATAGGTTGAGTCACTTTTTGTGTCATTTCTTTTATCACAACCTTTGATAGAAAAGACACATGCTTGCTAACACTGTTGTTAATAAGTCTAGCTTATTAAACATGTTTTCCTTTGTGCATTTTTTGCTAAGCTCTAATTACCAATACACACTTAATAATGCATTTTATTATACCAACGTAATACATGCTTCAAACAAACTTCCAAAATACTTAAAATACATTTGACTGCCACAGGTCAATTATTCATATGGGTGTTGTCAAATACTCTGAACAAAACCCATTTTACATATATATTCGAAACAATTATAAAAGGATTCATCAAGCTACTGGATAGTAAGCAAGGCTGGCCAAACCACACATTCCTTGAGGTGCATCTACGTCTCTCATGATTCTCATATAACCATCTTCTCCCCAAGATTCTCCCCACGAGTTCTTCAACAACCAATACTTAATCCCTTCTTCGCTCACCCCATAACCAACAATCGTAACCGCATGATTCAAATGCGTCCCACACTCTCCGTTAAATATCCCGCCTGAGTAGTGTATAAACTCATATCCTGACCCTTCTATCGCCACGGAAACAGGCTGTTGAGACACCGCTTTTAGCAATGCTTCCTCGTCATTTTGGGGAACCGTTTCGTATCCGCTGATGGTAGCAGCAGCTACATGATTTGACTCACAGGTTTGTTGTGCTCCTTGGTAGGGATAATTATCCTCTGCGGTGATTCCTTGGTTTTCTACAATGTAGTCGAAAGCTTTCCACATTATCCCTCCGTCACATCCATCGTTTTCCGTACTACAATCCAACAGTTGCTGCTCAGACAGCGACACGAGCTCTCCTTTCGCAATCTTCGTCATGCCTTCCACTGCCGCCACCGCCGAAAAAGCCCAGCAACATCCTGTTCCATTTTTAATAATCTTTTTTCTTTAGTTTCTACGAGATGTGAATTTAAATGAACATATAGTCTAATGATTTATATTAGTGTCATTAATGTGTTACACCATCTAGATTCAAATATTATAGTCTATGCATGTTACTAAAAAAGACTAGAGTTATGATAATTAATCAATTACCACATTGTTGTTGGTGCTTAACGGATGTAACAGCCCCTTCCTCTCTCCAATCCATGCTCTCACCGGTTTCACCAACATTTTCATATCTAAACGATACCGTTTCATGAGAATCCGTTGTTGACATTCTGGTCATACCTTCGGGCACCACCAGCCCCGTGTACCTCGCCTTAAATTCCTCGTCGGTTAGATCAGAGAACTCGTTAACATCCAACGTGTACGTTTTGTTCGTATTCATGTTGAAGCTCTCGACGAACTTTAAGTTCTTCTTAAAGATCTCAAACCTACTCGTTTTCTCAGAATCGTCTGAGTAAACGCGATGGAATCGAGACATCCATTGCTCATGTTTTTCAATAGCAGAAGCTTCAAAGAGCCCCCCACGAGATGTGGCTCCTGAAGTTCTGGAACTCAAAATAATGGCTAGAAGAAAGAAAATGATCGAAGTCATTTTATACTAGAGAGAAAATGTATATGAAATGTTTTGATATAAGTGTTTAGGTTTATATGACTTTGGTGCCAAGAAACGAGTATGAGAAAGTGGTGTTATATAGAGATTGTGAAGTGCGTGTAGCGGCATGTTTTCTGTTTGAATAGTCTAATGAGGTTTTGATAATCGTCTCATTGCTAACTTTTCTACACGCTACGAAGTCAAGTAAATGGCCCATTAGTGACATTTTGAGGGTCCCATTAGCGCAATCTGCAAACGTTTTTTTTGGTCTAACGGTAAATCTGAGACCCTAATAAAGTTCGAACTTAAGATTTGTGAAATTTATTCAGATTGTTGGATCTAGATATTTATCAGAGGGTGAGCTTACATAGATTTTTTTTTTGTTTATTGAAACTCATGATTACTTAAAACTGATATTCTAAACATTGTTGTACAGGTTTTAAGAAGTGATAATTGAATTAAATGTCACATGTCATATGTTGATATGTTTTTTTTTTTTTTTTGCATATTTGAAAGCAACTATAAGTTGTCCATAATTTTGGAGCATTGGTTAGCGAGGAATACTAATCAAGATAACTATCTTGCCTTGTTGAGAAAACAACCGTTGTTTTTTTTTTGTTATTTTCAAGGGACATGACAGAAAGGACCAAGAACACATACAAATTAAACACGAAAAACTATGTTGAAACAGAGTTTTAAAACAGAGATGGGTTGTGTTTAGAACTGTTTGTGTGGCTGTCGGAGAAACGACAAGATTTTTTCCCGAATATATATCGTTGCATGTGTGAAGATCGAGCAACGAAGATTTTATTAAGAGAAATTAATCGACTTGACTAAAGGAGATTTATTGTTGTCAAAGAAAATGATTAGATTCTTTTTAGACAAAAGACAAAAGTTTATCTCTAATACGTATTTAATCTTATAAAAAGAATCTAATCATTTTCTTTATAGCTGAACTGAATGTATGGTCGGTTTTAAATAGTACGTAATTGATTATTGATACCTTGTACGTTTAATCATGTATTGTCCTATCACCTATGTGACTATGTTTCACGTTTTACTCGCTTTCCACTTTAAAAACAAAAATATTCTAGTCTCTTTAGAAATTTCAAACATGACACTTTCCACTTTAAATCTAAAATCTTCTAATCTCCTTAGCAATTTCAAACATTCTGACTCATAAATCTTAGATTACTCCAAGCAAAGCTTATACAGTCGGTGCCGTGACAAGCGGAAAACGTAAAGAATCTACCTAAATTTTCCAAGTATGAGTTTCCAAGAATTTAATCCTATTTCAAGAGAACCAAATTAGCCTATAAAATTTGTATTGTGGCTGTCTTCCTCAAACTAAAATTGAAAGAAATTAATTAATGGAAGTCAACTTTTACATGGAAAATACTTTTTATTAGATTCCTCTTTTTTAATTTTGATGATTCTTTACGTTTGACTGGAGTTGATATAGTCGTTTTATTAAAGTTTCAAAAGTTAGAAAACAAAACAAAAAATCGTCGAATTTGAAACCCTAGATTATGGCTATACATACATAAATGATTAATCTACATAACTGTTTGTAATCAGACCGGTTGGGTTTTAAACAATCATTGATACGTAAATGATTTTACAAGTTGTAACATTTTTTTTTTGTTGATAACAAGTACTACACATGTCTTTTCTATAAGACTATAACCATAATTTACATAACATTTCTATAATCTGATTTAGATTGTCCTCTCCGGTTTAATATTCCAAGTGACTCCCGGAAAAAAAAAACAAACTTGGCACAGCTTTGTTTCCAAATGCATATTTTTTTCCAGTTTCTCAAGTAAAGAATCTTCCCTGTGTAATTTAGAAAACCCTCCTCAACCTTTTCACATTCTTCACATTTCACAACACACACACATACACTTTATTTTAATTAAATTTACACACCCCTCTCTGTTCACCACTCTTTCCAATCTCTACCCTCATTTCGTATCGGCAACGATTCAGATAGAGCTCACGGCCCAATTGGGGCCTCCACGGAACCGGGGAATCCACCTTTTTAGACTAGTCGCAGGATCCTCAAAACCCGCGGAAGAAAAGATAAAATTTTATGAGAATGAATGTTCAATCTTGGTGTGTAGAGTAACGACGAGGTCATGTGCATCATCCAGAAGCTTCCACACATCTAATTGCCCTGCCATACTTTGACACTCCCTTAAAATCTCATCCATGCTGTTATACTTTTCTATTATAAGTTTCCTTCTTTGCAACACTGAGGCCGCTATTGCATAGAGCACCAAATCATCCGTGGGAGGTGCACGTTGCCTTATCCTACTCCATGCGGATTTTCCCATCCCGGCTCTGATTGCGGCTTGATCTGCCCACATCACTTCCCATAGACATAACGTCTGATCGAGTGTCAGTTCCCGTCTGAACATCACAACCACCATTCTATATACAAAGAAACAGTCTTCGGCTTGGAGTTTCTCCAGGTGCCTATAAAGCTGAGAGTCTTTAGATTTGATTATCTTTGAGACTATGTTGAGTTGTCTTCTGATTCCAACCTCGTCTAGTCTGAAATTATGACGAGCTTTCTTCATGAACCCGACGAAGCACCAAAAGACTTCATGGTCATCAGGGATTACAGAGAGTATAGGAGAGAGAAGATCGCTCATTCCTTGGCAATACCCGATGTCAGGGTCATATAAAGCATACGCTTCAAGAACAGCAACTAGCCGTGCAGCTTGAAATATTTTGTATGGTTCCAAGTGATTGTAATCTTTTAACCCAACCGCTTCAGCGGCACGACATGCTCTGTCCTCGGATATAACTGCCTGGGATGGAGAATAGGGGGTCCACTCTGAATTAGCACGCACAGCATCTAGACGAATAATACGCTGCCACGTCACAAAATCCTCTTCTGTCCGGGGGATAGATGAGCTGGCTGGATATGCACTATTCACATCCGGAGTAGCAGAAGATTGAAAGACCTGTACCACTTCACTCCCATTTGAAGAATCTGAATCTGATGACTCGGAATTTAGTGTAGAGATAGTAGCATTGGTGATTCGTCTTGAACTACTGCCGTCATCCTTCTCAACTGTACATGAAACTTCACTCACGTACCCAATATCTTCAGTGATGTCTTCATCACTAGAGAGAGACTCACGGGCACTGACAACTTCATCAGAACATGAACTGTCAGTGTCTTGAACTTGAGGCCAATCATACTCATCTTCGATAGTTTCACTGCCCCTGTTTAACTTACGAGTCCCGTTATTGTGTTTTTGAAGCCGTTTGCACTGCCTACGTAGTCTCTCATACTCCTTTCTGCATTTGTAGAATCAAAACAGATGAGCTAGAAAATAGAAAAAGAGTTAAAAGTAAAAACTTCCCCCCCCCCCCAATATAGTAATTCAATCAGTCGTCGCTCTCACCTTCTCCGGTTTCTTATATTGACTCTCTCTTCCTTAGAACTATTAAAACCATACCTGTTGGTAGAAAAGTAATTTAGCAAACATAACAAAAAGAGGCAAGAGAACTAGCGTCCTTTGCTTCTCAGCTTCTTCTAATAAAAACAACTACTCTTCCATAGATCCAATTGTTGTTACTAAAGGATTCAACTAATAGTATTTGACTGTATACTTACACTCCAAGAAGGAAAGGCCACACCTCCAGCCGAATGCTCGGTTCAATACCCTACAAGGAAACAAGAGAAAAATAAACATTCTTTAAAATCAACAACACACAAATGTTTAAAGTTAGTTCCATGAAGCTGTAACTCACTCTACTCCGAACTTTCTTCAACAAATCCACTCCTCCATTCCGCAGTCTACCGTCAGGCGTAAAAAATCTCTTCCATTGCTGAGGTCTAAGTGGCCTTTTCCTTCTCCTCCGAGACCATGGTGATTTAAGACGAGGCCTAAAACAATGAAACAGAGGTTAAAGTGTGCCTACTTGGACCAAAATAGAAAACAAAACATCCAGAAATAGCCATGAAGCTTTAAATGTGCAGATTCAGCTGAACATTTCATTCGAATCGATCAAAATAACCAAACAAATGTCAATAATATAATCACTAATGCTAAAAATTGAAGCTTTGGTTTCTTAAACTCTATTAGTTATCTAATCTTCAATGATTATGAATCACATTGATCTAAAGGAGACGAAAGTCTAACAAAGTCAATAAAAAAGATCGAGAGATCTTAGAATCTAATTTCAACAATGGAGAGAGATCTAAAAGACTAACCGATCAGAAGAACAAGACGCAGGAGATGAAGAAGCAACAACGAAGAGAGCAGAACGTATTTGGATCCACGAAGATGATGAAGAAGGAGGAGATGATAATGGCGATGAAGGATTAGAAGACGAAGACGTCGTTTGAATCCTTCTCAAAGCTTTCATCTAGATTAAAACCTAATCAAACGATTTCACCAACCGCGACTACTCAAGCAACCAATTACTTGAAGTAGACGATAACTTCAAATCTCCGGCGAGGTATAAACACAAACAATCGCCGCCGTCAATAATAACTCTCCGACTACGTCTTCGTCTGAGACCGATCAAGTAAAAATTGAAAAAAAGCTATTGCCGCGTCTCTGGTCTTCTTCTTCTTCTTCTTCGTCTTCTACCACTTGCTTGCTTCGCTTCGTCTTCTTCGTTTCGTTTACTTTTGGTTTGGCTCTGTGGAAACGTGAGGGCTTACTTGTAATTTCTCTATCTCTTTAGAATCTAATGAATGAGCCCAAAAAAGAAAAAAATCTTCAGAAAAAATTGCGACTGGAGAGGCTTCGTAATGGTGAGACTTTTACTTTCTCTCTCTCTTGTGGATCCACGAACTAATCAGAAACCTTGAATTTACACTTTAGTCCTGTTTCTTTTGCTAATATTTTATTTTGCTCCGATTCGTTTTTTTTGTTTAAATTATTTGACCCATGTATTTGTCCATTAAATATCAGAATTATTTTCTTGCGAAAAAAATATGGTAATTTTATAAAAATGTATTTATCATTTCATTCAGAAAGAACAACATTTAAACCCATACCCAAAAAATGAAAAAAATTAAACATTGCAAAATTGGAAAATAGTAATTTCAAAATAAAGAGATTTTAAATGTTTACGTTCTTATTTCGTATGTTATTTATGTATTAGCTATTGGTTGTTGCTTTTTTTTTCCTAATCAAGTTTATATAGTTTACGCTCTTTACATGTTCGCATACTGATTTGGAATCCGTATTGACATGCATATAAATTAAATTAAGGAATGAAAATAAAAATAAAAATATATGAATGACTATAGTTCATAGAAAACAAGGTAAGTGAAATTAAGATATGTTTTTTTGTTTTTGTTATTGAATTTTTCCATGTTTCTAGGTTAACTTTTGAGTTCACAATTTACAAAAAAAAAGAGAGCTAAATTTGTAAGTTAATAGTAGTAAGTCGTAATTAAACAGAACTCAAACATTATTTAGTGTGCTATAAGTTAAACATGAAATATATATTTTGGTAGAATGGAAACAACTATCTAGAGACTAGAGATAATGGCTTCCAACGAGTGCGATGAAATAATTCCCATGTTTTCAACCGACCAAATCAGGCAAAAGAAACATATTTTTATTTCTTAGTATAAATTATATTATCGTTGTTTAGGAATCGACGTACATAGCAGTTTTGATTTGTTAATGTGTATGTTATAGATTTGTATAATACACTAAACAAATAAAGAAATCTGTAATCATGAAAAAAAATTTCTGTAGACAAGAATGATTAAATTGGTTCTACGCTATGATTATTAATTAGCTATAACAATTTCTTATCTTATCAAAATTTTGCTTTACGTGTCTCCCGTTCCTTGTAATAATTTGTCTTATTCAATCGAAACAGTTAATGCTATGCCCTATTACATTAATTTATAACTAAAATAAACGGTTCCATTACGGTATTATTTATCGAATGCAAAGGAAAGATTTATTTTTATTAACCTAAATGATTTGACTCGTTAACCACTTGGATTAGGTTTGGGAATATCCCAGATGCAACGTATCAGAAAATATTCGTCTGTTTTTATTCTTTTTAAACTACAAATTATGCGTCGGTTCGGATATATTACCTACTTAGAAAACTAGAAATGTTGGATCCGGTTTTAGTTTCATACTTTTTTTTTTTGTGTGGATTCTTGAAGGATTTAACCAAAATGACTTTGGAAAATGAAACTAGAATAGATTTTATTTTTATTTATTTATTTTGACATGGTTTGGCTTTGAATTAAATATATTAAATCACTAATTTAAAAAAAAAAAAACATAACAATCGTTTTATGAGTCTCTTCTTCCGATCTAGTGTGGTCAACAAAAAACAGACGCGTATATATTTTTGTCAACCAAAATATTTCAAAGAAGGTGACGCAAAAATGTGATTGTTTTGAAGTTACTATCAATCACATAACTATATATCAATGTGTAGATTCCTGTAGTGAATTTATTATATTAGCTATTTTTGAAGATAAAGACATTTTGGTTAAACCAAACTGAAATGACTAAAACCGAAATTAGAAAAAGCTAATATTTGATTTTAATATGTCTGACCTCTTCGACCATCTTTTATTATTTGTATAATACTTTATTATACATTTCGTTCGTCATCCAACCGGCAAATGGATGTTGATATGTTCTTAAATTATATTAAGCCTTTATTATCATTATCTTCTAGGGGGAGTCATCAAAACCTACACAAATTCTCTCAATTGTAACAATGATTCCATTTAACAGAAGTGGAATTTGGTTTTAACAGAAATATTCACCAGAAATATGTCAGGTGATTCGTTTCTTACAGTATTTGCTAACTTACTTGTGGGAAAATAATTCTGTTTCCGACAACAGCCACAGTTTTCTACTATGATAAGTCAAAATAATAAATTTTAGTAGAACATTTTTAGAATACTCTTTTTTCTTTTCTTTTTTTTACATCAAAACACATTTTTATTAAGTTAGTTTGAAAAAATTAGTTTCTGAACCAACCACTTCGGAACTTGAAAGTTTACATGGGAAAAGACTAGACCTCGTACTCGAGTTTACGTCGTAAAATACTTATAAAAAAAAAGGAATGTGTACTATATAAATTGCTATTGTAGGTCCGTTTACTCTGTTATTTTATTGTTTACCATCTGTTATCTTATTATCTATTATAACTATCCACCATCTAGTCACCATGACTATATTTCTTCTAACAAAATTCATCTTTTTTGTTTGTTTGTAGGAAATCAAAAGATTCCTTGTGCTGATGACATCTGATATTGAAGAAATTAAAAACATGGATGGATAATAATTAGATATAAGTAAATGTTTAGTTAAATTCGAAATATTGGTGATGGTGAATCCAATGGTGTGGCTATGTTAGTTTTAATAAGAAAGATAAAATACCAAAGCTAGATCCGTTGCTTTATGAAAAGGGAAAGTAAAGTATCGTTTTCCATATACGATACTTGTTAATTGCTTCGTTTGAATAAACTACTATAAATTTGAAAAAAAAAATTGGAAAAGAAAGAATATGCTTATAAACCAGCTAACGAATTTCTTTGATTAAACAAAATAATATTGAGAAGCTACTATTTTTTTGTATGAAGCCAGCAATTACATCATCATTCTTGAGAGTTACTCTATAAACTTCCATTGGTGAAAGAATTAAAAAATATGTAAGTGATAAAAAAATGATTTTAAATCTTGAAAAACAGATTTTTATTTGGGTTTCACAAAGAAAGGCATGTTAATCAATATACATACCATTTTGTTGGAAGAACAGATTAAAACAAAAAAAGAAAGGCATGTTACTTATTTTTATTGTGTCATGTATTTCAGTATTTGTCAATTATTCATCGATAAAACTAATACATTGATATGTATAATGTGATGGATCCATCATGTGAATTAGATTCGTGTTCTCGCTTTTGTATGCTCATTTCTCTCATGATGTGGACACAATCATGGTGTCTGACATAAGATGTCCATAGGACCATAACCCTTCTTTAGCTATATCACAGTTATCTCCGATCTTAGAAACTATAGCCGCATATATATGTTATGTACATTAATATTTGCACTTTACTTGATTTATTTTTGAGTTTTGCGTCATTTGTTGATACACTATAGGCCCACAAACTTGTAAACCAAAGTCACCAAGATCAATATGGTGTTGGTACACAACATAACAAGTAATTAAGCAATACATGCACGGTTCACAAACAAACGACTTAGCTAGTGAGACAAAGACATAAACGTTTATATCAAAGGATGGAGCACCAGCCATGAGGGAGTTTAGACGCAGCAGCTTGGTCAAGGAACCAAACCACTTCAACATCCGCGGTTAGTCTACCGGCGGGTAAGTCTTTGGTATGAGTAAGAGCAGCCGCAACCGAATCAGCCTGCTGTTTATCACATACGGCCATAACATTGTAGGAAGCACAATTGATAACCGGTAAAGTAAAAGTTATCCTTTTTGGTGGTGGCTTAGGTGAATCGGTTATAGATGTGACCCATTTCACTTTCTCGTTGATCTGATCATGTCCCGGGAATAGAGACGCCATGTGACCGTCCGGTCCCATTCCTAGAAGCTGAAGATCGAATTGTGGAAAACCAGAAGATTTGTATGTTCGGATTATGTTTTGGTTCACCTTTTGTTTGAGGCACTCCTCGTACCTTTCAGCTGCTAGCTCGGCGTTGCCTTCTGCCCCGAGTCCGTTGTCGATAGCGTAGATGTTTTCAGCTGGAATTGGAACCTGTATGGTGGGATTATATATCGTCATGAAGACAACTTTGATACTATATGGTCCGTAGCTCATAATTTAACAATATAATTGCATTCTTTTTGTGAACAAACTTACTTGTTAAGCATCTCCGGTCATTTTTAAAGATAGACTTTGGTATTCTAAAATAGAAATTTCCTTTGCTAATTTTTTTTAGACATCTTTAGATCGACCAAACCTGATCCATAGTCAATCCCTACTACGCGGAGTAACACGATTTAGTGGTGTCGAACTCTAGTGAAGAAGATGGAGTCAATTGGACTTAATTACTTGGCTAGAGACACATCCCCTTTAATTTCTTTTGCTAATTAAATAGTTCCTCTTTAGCGTATATTTAATTATTTATACATGTTTACCTTGGAGAGAAAACCGTCGTAAGCAAGTTTATAGTTGCTATCCACATTATCCCAAGCACAAACCCTCTCGTCGACCCAGAAGATGTGCCACTTAGACCACTCAATTGAATCAATATGAGGAGCTTCTAACAATTTCCTATAAAATAAAAAATTTAATTAGATTTTTTGGAAGAATCAAACAAATTAAGATTGGTGTTAAGTATATTGATAAGAGAGTTTTGTATATAAATCTTGAAACAGACCAGAGCCAGGAGATGAGGTCGCCGCCGGAGAGAACGACAGTGAAAATTCCTCTTTCTTTGCAGAATTTGAAGGAAAGATCCGCCGTGTATTTGGCCAGCTCCACTGCCATTTCATTTTTTGTCTTGAACACCCTCCTTTTCACCGGCGCCATCTAATTAGATGATGATGACAATTATTGTGATGATGATGGTGGCATCATACTAGTGGAGGAAACTTACTTCTTCTAGGGAAAGTGAGTGTGATGAAAAAAAAAAAAAAAAAAAAAAAGGAAAGTGAGTGAATGATTCTTGCCAAATGAATGAGACAAAAATTTGTTTTCTTCTAAATATATATATTTATATATATATATATATATATAAAATTACTCCTATGTTGATATTTTTTTTTGGAAGAGTATAGTATCTAAATATATCTTATACCTTTCTTTTGTTTGTAATTTATTCATTAACAACATTTTATTATTCCTTTCGTCGTTATGAATTTATTCTACATAACACTATATGTATTCACATATTATCTCTCAAACCAAATTATTCTCTTGACTTCAAAAAGAAAAAAAAAAAACTAAATTCCTAGTTCAAAATTTTATTATGACATGAGTGTGTGTAACTAAAAAGGTTGACATAGATTTTGAACGATTTTGATGGCATGTGCACGGTGCAAGTCTCTAGTTTTTTTTTTTTCTTCTTAATATCTCTATTAATTCAATCAAATTTTTTTTTTTTTTTTTTTTTTTTTTTTTTTTTTTTTTTAATTCAATCAAATTTGCTCGTAATAGACATGCTAAAATTGATGTCTTCCAGTTAAATAACTTACTAAATATTATTTTACTATAATTTTTATTAAGATGACGAAAAAAAACATATACATGTGGTTTAGTTTGATAGCTTCTTTTGTTTTCTTCTCAAGTTATTTAAAATTTTAAATATATATACGGTCAAAAAGTAACTAAACTATGCGAGTACTGTATTGGCTGAAGACAATTATAGCCGTAGGTTTTCCATCTCACATTGTCTTTTCCTTACGTTGTTAGTTGAACTTTGGGAGATAAATGATAGTACACGTTTCATTACTGTGTATGTGATACGAATATGATATTTTTAATAAATATTTTATATTCTTAGAGTGTTAGTGAAACAACTTAAACCCATTATACATGTGAGACTAGGCCTGCGATTATGAGCCGAACGGTTAATTCGGGTTCGGTTCTTCGGTTTCTCGGTTTATTCGGAATTTGAAACCTATTCCGAATCGAACCGACTAATAATTCGGTTCGGTTCGGTTCAGACACGGTTTATTCGGTTTTTGCTACTCGGTTATTTCGGTTTAAAACATTTGGGTCAAAACAATTTTTTATGGGCTTATTTTCGTGGGCTTGCACAAAATAAGTCTTTTGCCAACCCAAAAAAAGAAAAAAAAAAAGTTGTGTCGACAGAGAAAAAGCGACGGAGAGATGAAGGAAGAGATCAGCGGCGGCGAGATCTCAAGGGTGACAGAGAGATGAAAGAAGAGACATCAGCTTCCTTAAAGAGAAACGAGATACAACAGATGTTCGCCACATCATGCGAACTAACACGTTCTGTCGTTGGAATTTCTACGCGTTGAAGAAGAATAACTAACAATTTATGTGGGGCAGCGAGAGATCTCAAGGGTGATGATGAAGAAGAAGATGATGATGATGATGATGAATCGAAGAAATAGAAAACTAATCGGAGAAGAAAAATATGATGGTGATGATGAATCGAAGAAGACCAAAAAAAATGAAGAATCGAAGAAGAATTGAAGAAGAAGAAGGGTTAGGCGGCTAGGAATATTAGGTTAGGGTTTTTTTTGTTTTTTTCGGTTAACCGGTCGGTTCGGGCGAACCGAACCGAAAAATCTCGGTTAACCAAAATAATTTTATGTCTTTCCGATCGGTTTGACCTAATTAATAGAAACCGAACCAATTTGTCCAAATCTCGGTTCGGTTCGGTTCGGACAAATCGGTTCGGTTCAGATTCCCAGGCCTATGTGAGACAAATGGTATTGGAGGGTGCTGTAATCATATGTTCTTTAAGACTTCTTTAACTAAAAAACTCAGCAACAAAATTAGGAATTAATGTATGTCTCTCAAGTATTATTATTTGTTTGGGGTTTTTGGCCGAATATCAAGACAAAAGGAAATTCTATTAGCAAATGAATTTTTTTTTTAGAGAAATGATCATAGGCGTAGCAAACCAATTCGCTCAAAAAGTAAGTGACTGATATGGATTGTTTTTTTTTTTTTTTTTTTTTCCTGATATGGATTGTTCTATTACACATTTCAAAATAATCTAAATTTATTTAAAGATGTGCATAGCACAGTTATCAGCTAGTACGGTGTGTCCCAATGACATTCTTCCGAAACAAAATCAAAATTTTAAAGGAAGATAGTGATATTAGTTAATTTTCGAATTAGCACAAAGTTTTATTGTATCTAGGCCTCGATTTATTACACCTCCAATATCATTGCTTAGAGGAAACATTACCAGAACCGAACCACAACAACTCATCTAATTCTTTCTATACAAACCGGAATTTAAATACAAAAAAAAAAAAAAAAATCTTCCTTTTTGTGTGTTTAGTTTAGAATGGTTCCTCTAAAAACAAAATGCTTAATACAAATAGAGGTACCTTTTTTCCGGTTGATGTTTTTGTCTTGAATCGACAGTATAATAATGAGATTCATGTTTTAATGATTAGGGTCTTTGATTTGCGAAGTTAGAAGTCATCTCGTCGGTCTCGAGCTCGAGCTTCGTACAGTCACTCCGTGCAAGAACTTGGCGTAGCCTAAGAAATTCAGCTTCCCATCTAAACTCCGGATCCAATCCTTGAGCAGAGGATACGCATTTGGTCCCAAACTCATCTCCTACATATTCCATAATAACCCATAATTCATGCAAAAGATATCGGTTTCACATATCTCAGATATATAAATTGAAGTCTCTACATACCTCGGCGAGTTCTTGGACGGAAATGGCTCGGCTTCCTTCACGTTCAAAGTGGTCAAATGCTATAGTTGCGATCTGCTCCCATTCTTCAAGAGCCTCAAGTTGATAAACACTAACCGCAGCCGCACAAAACTCTTCAAAATCTAGTTTTTTATGTGCCAATGGTTGCATCTTCAATCAACAAAAAGGAAACACACAGAGAAAGAGTATTGCAGATGTATTTTAGCACCAGACTAGAAATGATGGGACTTCAAAATATGTGTTAGTACGTACCATGTTTAAAATGTCAGGAAGCCTAGATTCGATCATAGCATCTGTAGCATATCTTGTCAAAGCCTGCATTTACCACAAGACTTTGAATCACTAATCGCGGATCAAAAGAATGTTCAGTCATCAATTGAAGAACAGTGGCGTTAGAAGTTATTCTTAAACAAGGAACAATAGAAATGTGGTAATCATTCACTGACCGTGGTGAAATTGTGAAGATGCAAGCCTCCATCTTCTGGCTCCAAAAGCATAAACTGTGCTTTAAGGAATACGAGTTCTTCTTCGGGTATAGCTTTGGATAGAGACTGTTGTACAAGTGACAGCGAAATAAAGATATGATCAAATCTATCAAGAACAAAAGCTACGATCAAACAAACAGAGGAAATATTTTGTCATGTGTGTCTATTACATGGAAACTGTGATTAGAATCCTAAGAAGATTATAGTTGCAATGATAAACAATACGATACCGGTGAAATTTATTATCAGACAATTACCTTAAGTGCTGCTCGTCGGAAAGGGCTTGCACGAATATAAGATTTCACCAATTTGTAGATAGAGAAATCCAGAAGCAAACCAGGGTTTTCATCTCGAAGCCATGGATGAGCTGCAAATTTTATCATACTCATGTTTTCATTTCACCATCCAATGTCTCTAGTTTTAAGTTTTAACACTAGTGGTAAAGAACTTACCTAAAGCTTGAGCAGCTGTCATTCTTTTCCTATGGTCTTTGTTCAAAAGCCTTTTCACAAAGTCTTTGGCAATAGGAGATATGGAAGGCCACGGTAAATCTTCGAAATTAGGATTCGCTCTAAGAACACAACGAAAAATTGCAGACTCGGTTCGTCCGTAAAAAGGTCTACTTCCACAGAGTAATATGTAAGATATGACACCAATGCTCCATATATCTGCTTCAGTGCTATATGATCTGTGAAGTACTTCAGGTGCAACATAGTATGCACTTCCTACCACATCGTTGAGACGTTGATCTGATTAAAGACCATCACAAAAAAGCATTCAGTCCTTAAGTTGCTAAGTAAAATTCTACAAGCAGAGTCAAGCAAAAAGTTACCGAATCTAGCGTAATCAGACAAGCCAAAATCTATGACCTTGAGTATTGCATCCTCATTTTTGCTGGTAAAGAGAAAATTCTGGATACAACAATATAGCATTTGTTCAAGAAACAAGAAACATAAACTTATGATATTCAAAATGGTACAAGCAGAATTTGTACCTCCGGCTTCAAATCACGGTGCACAACACCTTGAAGATGGAAAAAAGCAGTTGCAGATAAAATCTGTACAAGAATACGCTTAGCATCTGCTTCCGGATATCGACCACCTCTACAATAAGATATAGACACTACAATATGATACTCCATATGCAACACAAAGCTAGCTACATAAGCGGAGTAGACCAAAATTCAAGATGGAAAACAGAGAAAGGACTAGTTTTGATTTTACCTCGCCAAAATACTGTCCAATAGCTCTCCACCTTCACATAACCTGGAACCATATTGGAGTCAATATCATAAGTCAACTCATTTCCTCTACTTTCTCATACTACTGGTACTATTACAACTATACTGTTCATTGCTCTGTAACAGACTTTTTACTTTATCATATAACAGAGGCAATGTTCCAAATCTGACCACAAGAAGATTATGCAAACACAACTTTTGATATATAAGAAGCATGAACGAGACATACTTACTCCATAACAACAAAGACATTATCCGAATCCTCGAACACATCATAGAACTTAACCATATGACTATGCCCTGACAAAGCTTTCAACAATTTCACCTCTCGACGAACATCTTCAATCGACAAAGCTGATGTCATCTATATCAACACAAAGAACCAATCTTTTGATAAAACAGTAACCATTTCTATTTTCCAATAATCTTGGAATCAATCACATTGTCACAAACCTTAGTTTTAGAGATGATTTTGACTGCAACAGTTTGACCTTTGATCTTCCCTTTCTTTGCTTTAGCCCAACAAGTATGACCAAAATGCCCTCGACCTACTTCTCTCCCAAGCTCATACTTACCTTCAAAATTCTTCGCAAATCCGAAATTCTTATCTAATCTCTCTCCGATTCTGCCTCCGCTTCCGCTGGCTCTTCCGTGATCAACGTCTTCACTATCCTCAGGGATCGGACCATCTCGAGGATGTGATGCTGTACCTCGTCGTCGTCTCAGAGCCGCCATGATCGGTTTCGCAGGTGAAGGAGGCGGGAATGGCCATTTGAATTTTCTTCCCGGAGTTCTCGCCGGAGATGGAGCTACTCCCGCCGGTAACGGGCTTTGAAATGGGCTGATTGTGTAAGGGTTGACTTCTGAAGTAGCCGGAGACTGAGGAATTGATGATGAACTCTGGTGGTGGTTTTGATCAGACCGATGTGGTAACTGAGCGATTCCGGAGGGGATATCGTCGTCATCGTCGACGGTGGAAATGTTCCGGCTGTAACAATGACCCATTGTTGCCGGTCAAAGATTAATTGATCGGGGAAAAAGTCAAATCATCGGACGGTGAAGAGACGGAGTTGAATAGTAGCTTTAGAGAGAAACGACCGATGAGGAAATTAGAGAAAAAAGGGAAGCGAAGATTTTAAAATTAATTAAATTGACCAACAAAGATTTTTTTTTTTTAAAATAACGGAAGAAGAGAGGGCGTTGAATAATGCCGGTGCTTTGCTAAAACGACAGCGGAGGAAACGTGACTTATACGACAGCCACATGAGCTTAGTGACGTGTGATATTAATGATTTCATTTTTGTGTTGTTTGTAATTTTTTTTGCTGAAATTAAAAACTAAAGCACAATTATAAACATTATAATCTATAGAAAATTAGTATAGAGAATCAAAATCAGAACTATTTAATTGTTTTTCAACTTTTAGAAAATGGATAGGTTATCTTAATAGATCACTTTCACAGCCATTATAAGAAACGCAAAAACAAATAAATTTGATAAGTACAACCTATTAATGTACCAACTGAATATAAACCGGTTTAGTGGATTAATAACATTTGATACAAATCGCATCCAACCACCGGTTTGTCTACAATTGCGGACGTTTGAATATGTTTGACATCGAAATAGTCATTATTCACGTTGTGTTAGCATTGAAAAAGTCTTAAAATTGATAACTGTTTGGTGCATACTAGAAAAGTAATAAATCTTGGGTCACAAATATAAAATAAAATATATTTTATCGTCAATGGTTATGGTTCCATCGGCTACACTTAACCGATTCGGTTAATTTTAATACTGAAAATCTTCGTGAGCATTGGTTCTCTTGTCGATGTCGTACAAAAAGTAACCATCACCGGCAATATAACCGTGCGATTGCGGATTACCATTGTGAAATGACAACCGCTTTCTAACCAATGTTAATCTTGGTTCGTTGTTATCTAAACCGGTTCGGTTTGATCTCTGCTTTGGTACGCTTTGTGGCCGGCGAAATCTAGACATGGTTGAGGCAGTGGTAGACATGTAATTTGGTATTGAATGGACTTGCCTTGTGACGCAAGAGTGTCCACGTGGCGTCTGGTCGTTGAGCTGTTGGTGGTGTGAGTACGTTTTATACGTATCGATCTCGACTATCTTGACCGGTTCAACGACAGCCTGATCGGTTGACATTCTTCTTCCGGTTTCTCGATAACCGTACCGGTTTAATCTACTCGGTCTTTTGTCCTCTAATTCACTTTCACTATGAACTTCTCTCGCTGTAGTTTTCCACATCTTTATTTGTAAAACCAAAAAGAAGATCGGTTTGTCTATTAACAACATATATATGAATGAAAAGTAAAACAAATGGTAAGTTTGATTTATTGAACCTGTTTAGAGAAAGCATGAGACAAGGCAGTTTCGTCGCCGAGATTGGTGGTGAGTGTTTTTCGGTATTCTAGAGCTCGAGCCTGGATCTGAACCAAAGCCTGAACCCGAAGCAAAGTAATGCTAGCTCGTCTACGCACGATGTGGCCTCTCACTAGGGCTTGTAGTTTCACAACTCCTTGTAAAGCCCTAAACGCTGTTCGTGCCTTGAGTTACAAGTCATCAAAATCAAACTCAGTTTGGTCTATAAAGGTAAAGTTATCATGATAAAGAAACCCTCAATTAGGTAACAAAACGATTGAATATGTATATGTTTAAACATTCAACTTTGTGTGGTGACTATATTAGTAAATGGTGATTGTACGTACCAGGCATCCTCGGAAAGCTGTCTGAATGAGAATAGCAGCCAAGTGTCTTTTGAGGTAGACAGATATCCGGCCAAAAAAGACGGTTTCCTTGGCCGCCGGAGATGCAGTTTTCTCTGTTTCCTCAGCCGCAATCGCGTCAACATCCGTTGAGTTAATGTTGCCGGAGTTTCTTATGTGTATTCCTACGTCTATTGCAGAAAAATCAGAAGAATCTTTCTTGAATAGCCATCTTCTTTTTCTTCTCTTCTGCACCAACAAAATTATTAGTATTATTTGACAGAATTTATAGATTTTATTAATAAAAATGAAAATCCCAAAATTTCCAAGTTTTAAGTCTGAATATCAAAAACCAGGTTTTCATGCTGATGAAGATTTTTTCTAAAATTATATACCTGGATCCAAACTTGAAGAGTAAGAAGAGAAAAAGTGTTTTCTTGGGGATATATTAAAAATATACATGTAAATGCTGATGTATTTTATATAGTATGAATTAATGAAGATTAAAAAAAAAAAAAACAAGAAAGGTAACTGAGTGTGAAGTATACCGGTCGTTGGTGTTGTTCGTCCTCTTCTTCTTCGACGAGGTCATTGTCTTGTCGACGGTTTATTCTTCTAGGGATTTTCTTCTCCGGTGATCGGAAAACATTCTTAACGGCCGTGAACCATGAGCTTCCGCCGGTTTTCCCCATCAAGATCGATCAATCTCGTCTGCTTAATTTATGTTAATTGTACTGTCACTTTGTTTTTTTTGGGAGAAATGTATTAATGTCACTTTGTTAGAGATACGAAACTCATTTATATAATTGTTACTAGTACATATGGAATGAGTTATATATAAGTTAAAAGAACACACTCTCCCTCTTTTATGATGAACAAGAACCTTTTTGTTGCTCAATATTAAATTAAAAAGTTCGGAACATGTACATGTATTGTATATGTTTTGGCATTTTGGGATGTTAAGTAAATGCATTAAGAAGTGAAACTCGAAACTCCTATATATGACCGTATGTGTTCAATGCTTTATGATATTATGGTCCCATGCATAAAAAGTTCTTATTTATTTTAATTTAGTATTTCTACAATTGTAAGCAATATATGCATTGCCATGTAACGGCCAAATGCAAAACGATCAATAATCATATAATGCTTTGTATCCGGAAAAGCAGAGAAAGAGGAAAAATGTTGGAATAAGAAGAATAACGAAGCCGAAACTAAAATAGATAAAAGCTAAAGAAAAATGAAAAGAGGAATAGTAATAGGTAGGCATGCTTTGTGTTAACAAATTAGATAGCTTTGTGTCAGAAATAAATATAATTGTAACATGAAAGAATGTGTCAATGTGTCTTTATCCAAAAAAAAAAAGGAAGAATATGTCAATGTTGGAATGCATCTCTCGAGAGTGCAGAAAGTTGTTCCTTCTCTTCTTTCGTATATTATTTTTATATAATCAGTTTCCATTAACGTCGATATGTTATTCGGTTATCATGGTTTCGTGTATTCACTAGCTTTGATTGTTTGGGATAGTGATTGAGTTACACAGTAATTTTTTTTTTTTTTTTAATTTAGGAGAATACTAATATATATACCCTAATTTTAAAAATACGATTACAATTTGTAAAAAAATGTAGAATATAAAATCTTCTTCTATATTTTGTTAAAATATTTTTCTTGTTTATTAAATATTTATCAGCTAAAAGTCCTTTTTAAGTATGCAGTTTTTAATTTATTTTTATCTAAAAAGTAAAATCTCTTAGTATTTTGAAAGTTCATAAAGAAAAACGCTAAAAAACGAATATGAGAAATTATTCATTTGACCGGAAAAAATTAATATAGCCAGAAAAACATATGATGGGGAAGATCTAAGGAGTTCTAAGCAGGACAATACAAAGAACAAAAAGGAAATCAAACAGGACCCGAATTCAGACGAGATCTAACTGAAATTAACAACTAAAGGTCAGTGAAATTTTATTTTTTCCCCGACAGAGAGAAAATTTCACCAAATGTCTTAAATAATTCATAAAAAAATATCCAAAGGGTAACTCAATTTCAACAACAACAAAAATAATCCAATTTTTTTTTTTTTTTTGTTTTTGGAGACTATAGAAAGGAGAAAGTTTAGACCAAAGTTCTTGAGTTGTTCAAAGATACCGGGCAGGCTCTGCGACCGCGAAGCATAACTTAAAATAAATCTAAAAAGAGTTTAAATATAAACACAAAACGCCTCAAGTACCTTCTTCTTTAGACTTCATCTTCTTCTGCTTTCTCTCTCTCTCTCGTTTGCTATATAATTTGACATCTCCAGCGAGAGTGTTTTTCGCGATCATTTCACTTGAAATCAGCGCGGGGAAAGTGCGGCCTTACTGGTGTCTTTGATGGACTTACCCTTCAAGAACAGATAAATCAACACAAAGATGAATACAAGTTTCCCAAGAAAATAAGATAATAAGAATAACTAAAAAGATTTAACATATGTAGACCCTAGAAAGATGTCACATTATATGCAAATGAACCATATATAGAATTAAGTAAAGAGCTAGCCAAGTCGAAGTTGATCGATATCAAGTTTGCTTTTAGTAATGACTAAAACAACAACCTACCATTCAAAAGTTGACATTTAAGGAGATAAGATAGAATGAGAAACTAAAGTTAGAAGGTAAAATGTTGAAATCTTATACCTTATTGGGAGTGCCCCCAAGACAATACCACTGCAGTGAAGCGCAGCAATTGCACTTTCCGCCTGTGAGAACAAAGCAAAGTATGAATCTCCCATTGACAAACCAAAACATAATTTTGAATCTTGGACCCTTTTACCTAAACTTCATATTCGAGTTTATTTGGATGTCTTTGAAAATGTAAGAAGCTTTTTGAAATGCAACGTATCAAGTTAGAAGGGAGAATCCGTGTTTCCTTAAATGGATCATACCGGCATGCAATTCAAACAATAGAATCTTAACTAGCAACTGAAACTACTCAATCACCAAGAAGACTAATGTCCAAAATGGGAACACTTTAACTGAAAACATAGGCAGAGAGAATTACCATCGCAAACTCAACAAAAGCAATACGGGTTTGGTGGTGATAGTCTCCAAGCCTCAGACGATGAACCTACAAAGGATATATAACAAAAAAAAATTGATTGCAGAGCAGAAGACATACATATTAAAGCGTAAAAATAATTGTCGCATTCCAAACCAATATTCATACCTCCCCGCAAAGCATTTCAAAGAAGACTTTCAAGTCAATTTGAGTGATCTGCAAATACAAGTAACAGGACATTGAAGAAAGTCAGTTGCTCCAATACTTTAGCAGTTAACAGTTTCCAAAAAAGACAAAATCTCATCAAGGAAATGGTTAGTGGGAATTGAATTACCCGCTTGTCAATGTTGGTACAGTAAACAGTCCTAACGCACATCTCACGCTCATCCTCAGACTGGGAGAAAGAGAGCAACATTATGCTCGAGACTACTTAAATTTATGCCTAGTTTATCCATTATCATGTGAACTTACTCTTGGAAGAAAAGTCGGGTTAACAGGGGCAATAGCGGTTTTGGAAGGAAGAACCTTAAGAGGGTAAAAACCGAGCACAGTACCCGACATGCTCAAAGCAGCCCTAGCTCCCTCTGCAGCAACATCTCTTGATAAGTTAAGAACAGTGCTATAAATTAAATCTCAACTAGTAAACAAAGGGTTGACAGGAAGAGTACCTTCATTGGTAAATTCAATGAAAGCAAAACGAAGGACAGAATTTGGGTCACCGCATACACGACAATCAACAACCTTTCGATCCAAAAATGACAAAAAATGCTATGAGGAAACGAGTTACTGAAGATAATCAAAACATCTGAACATAGTAAAGATCATTTAGGTACCTGTCCACAATTAATAAAGACACCAGCGAGGTTCTCCTCGGTAACCTACAAACAAAACAATGTAAGAGAGGAAGAGGTTATAAAATGGATTCCTTTACGAGAAAAATGTTATCGAAAATAACTTCCCTCTTTTTACCTGTTGGTCAATGTCAGAGACATATACAGTTCTCCTGATTACATCGTCCTTCTGAGCCAAGCTTGTTCTTTTGTTAATTCTTCGCTTCCCTTGGCCAAAACTCCTTCTCTGTAGCAAGCGGTAAAACAAAAAGCACACAAATTACCAACTTGATCTCCACCACATGATTTTAATCAATAGTACAGTTTTGCATACTTTCACTTCACATATCTGACAACTAATACCATTGTTTGAAGAATGTGACCACAGAAACGATGAATACTTTCTATTTAAAACCCGAAAACTTCAAAGCTCATACAAAGAAGAAAATTAGTAAAGCAAAGGCAGCCATTTTCACAAAGTGTAACTGATAAGCAAAAGCAAATAGTCAACAAATCAAATTAACAAACTACACACAAAGCGAAACTGCTATTGTATCAATGATCAAGCAATAGATGCAAGAACACGAAAGCAAACCCGCAAAGCTCGAAACTTTTTTCTGTTATCCATTTGCTGAACGTTTCAGCATACAAGCGGTTTTCAATCAACAAACAAGCTACCAAATTATGGTAAACGAAAAAACACAAAAGCTCGAAACTTTATATCATCATTTCTCTACACCTCACTGTATCATCAAAATCTAAGGGAAGATTAGAAAAATACAAAGATCCGAATTCACACACTAACGAAAAAAAGAACATTCTATACACCAAAACACATCCATTTTCTAGAGATGTAAATGCTAACAATCAAAACTTACAACATAATTATATACTCAACAAATAGACATCAAATGAAGAACCAACAAGACTATCCATCAAAACATATCAAAACACAAACTTTTTATCAATCAAGAAAACAAAACAAAAGATAGAGATCATAAAATGAATAATATACCCTTGTAGGAAAATGATCATTCCCATCAGCAAGTTTAGGTGGGGCTGCAAAATTGTTAGTAAACCCTAATCCATTTCTGAAAACCCCAGATTGACTTCGAGCGAGAGAAGGAGGAACAAACTCCTGAGCCATGGGATTAAGCTTAGAAAAAGCATCAGCCAAATCTTTGATCTCAGTCTTGAGACTTCCTCCATTGTTATCTCTCTCACCATTTCTGTTAAACCCATTTAAAGTCTGACCCTTTTGAGCAGTCTCATTGATCCGATCGTCAGTTTCTGGAGTCGAATCGATGGTAGGAGGATTCGATGAGTCAGATTTAGGGCTCTGATCATCATCAGGACATGGCGGCTTCGTCTCGGTAGCTGAATCAGTGTTGTTGTCTAAATTCTGACCAGACGAAGAGTCCACTTTGACACCAGCATTCTCAGCAACAGCCATGATCGGACCAAAAAGGTTGAATCTTTATAACGATCAGACAACAACAACTTACCAACTCGTCGATTTCTGAATCAAAAACAACCAAACTTAGAAAGAGAATTTGAGAATGAGAAGAAATAGAAAAAACTCTAAGAAAACACAGAGGGAAAGATCAAGAATTGATACGAACCCTGAGAGTTAATCTCGATCAAAATGGTTAAGCCATAAACGGAGAGAATCAAACTTAATTAAAAGATCAATGAGAGCAGAAGAGAGGACTGAAACAAAGAAAAGTTGGATTTTTATTCAAGGGAAAATAAGTAAAGACAAAAGGAGAAAACTTGGAAAATTCAAGGAGATGATTAGAATAGAAGAAGGAACACAAGAGACCCCTTTGGTTATAAAATTAAATAACTTAACTAGTTTCTTCTGCCCTTTGGAGTTTGGACAACATCCTATGAATACTTTATCGCTTTTTACTTTATCTTCTTTCTTATGAAGCTTCCTACTTTTCAAATTATTTTCTTTTGGGACAAATCCTACTTTTCATTTATCTATCTACTTATGAATTATTAGTCTTTTAATCAATTATTTAAATTTTTATTGGTTAATTTATTTTTCAAATCTTAACATTTAAAAACATATTATGTGCTATATCCAATTTTTTTTAGAATGATATTGTTAAATAATTGAATTTTTAAAATAATATTCAGTGTTCAAAAATACGCCTTGTTATTCTCATATACATAAGGTAAGAATAAAAACATTCATATATACTATATGACAACGTTTTTTTTTTAATATCCTTAACAAAACGATGTTGTTTTCTTTTTTCAATTGATTATTTTTCACATAGTGATACTCCCTCCGTTCCTAGAAGATTGATGTTCTACTTTTTTTATTTGTTTCACAAAGATTGATTTTTTAGCTTTTTTTTCTTTATTTTATTGATTTATAATAATAAATCGTAAACTTCAAGGCGTAATGATTGAAAATAATTAACTTTCTTAAATTACCATTGGTTGATAATTATTTTAAAATATGTAATATTAAAATTAATATTTAAATAATTAAACAATGATTGAATTCTTAATATGCGTAAAAACTCTAAAACATCTAACTATTACGAACATAGGAAGTATTTGATTTTTAGATATAATGTTTCCAATGCAACGTAAATTATTACTCAATAGAGATTACCTTCACCTTTTTGGTAGTATATTATTTTTTTATTACCCATGATGAGTATTGTTCGTATATTTCTTACTATAATATTTTTGTGGTTTAGATATGAGCATACTACCAAAATTTTATTATTTTTAATTTATTTTCCTCTAGAGAAGAATATGTATCATAATCATATGTAGCCCTGGACATAAAAACCGAAACCGAAAAACCGAACCGAACCGAACCGAAACTATCCGAATGTTTTGGTTTCGGGTGTCACAAAATAACCGAATGGTTCTCTTTCTAAACTATCCACGGATATCGGTTATTAACCGAACCGAACCGATATCCATGGATATCCGCTTTAAACCGAACATAATTTATTTATGAGGCCTAAAGCCCATTTGTCTTCCCTACCCAACTTACCCAACCCATTGCCTAATCCCTACCCTACTTACCCAACCCATTAAGCCCAAACCCATTGTGTGTGATTGTGTCATAGAAAGAAAAGAATGGAAGATCAACTCAAGGACTTGAAGATGCTTGTAGAATCTAATAATCTTTTACTCTCTCTTTCTCTCTTTCTCGCTTTCTCTCTTTCTCGCTTTCTCAAGTCTCTTTTGAACTTGATTATTTTGTTGCGGTCTCAAGTCTAAACTCTTAAGTCTCTTTGAAGTTTGAACTTTGTTATTTTGTTGCGGTCTCAAGTTTTATTTGGGTAATGGTTCGGTTATTTGGATAGTTCGGTTATTTGGTGGGTAAATAACCGAACCGAACCATATCCGAAAGTATTTCGGTTATTTTTTGGTTCTCTTCCTAAGTATCCAAACCGAACCGAACCGAAAGCTAACCGAACCGAACCGAACCGAAAACAGTTCGGTTCTCTTATGGATGCTAAGTGCCTAAAACCGAATAACCAAATAACCGAATAACCGAACCGAACCGAACCGAATAACCGAACGCCCATGCCTAATCATATGTCTAGGCATTGTACCATATCCTCTTGTATACCTGTGTTATGTGTATAATGTATGTGTAGGCATTATAGGGTAATCAACATTTGGGCAAACCAACACTTGAGATCACACTATAAGAAGTGATCGAACCCCCAACATTTGATGAGCTCAGAGCTGCTTTACATGTTAATCAACATTAACTAAGCTTAGAAACTTTTATCATTTAGAAATTAAGAAGAAGCAGGATAACCACTAAAGCAGAAACAAAAACAAACAAGATTAGAAACGTTGAAACTTTATAACAATGTTTACAGATTTATAAAAACAAATGTTCTGAAAGAGTTACAACTTCTAAAATTCGATCTGAATTTCCTTACGAAGAAATCATCGAGGATTAGAACTTACTAGCTTAACAATTCTTTGACTATGCTACACAAATTATAAAATACATGATCTACTTAACCCTTTTTTCCTTATATTTATAAATAACCATGAAGTTATCACACAGGTGAAGCTGAGAGCAGAAACTCAGGCTGCTTTCTCTGCAGGAGCACTCCACAGAAGAGGCAGAACGGTTTCGAGGCAGCTTTGCTAAAGGAGGATTTTGGAAGTGATTTGAGATCACTCGGGAATGAAGGCAATGCAAATAAGGTCTCTGGAGCGAGTTCTAAAGTCATTCGGTTGCAGCATTTGCAGAACCATAAAGGAGTTGGTGGACATACTTGCATTGAGACACAACACCTCTCAAGCTTGTGGCTTTGATCACATCTCTCTTTGTCTTTGCTCTTCTTCTTTTTTTGGTGCGGAGATTCGCAAAAGGCTTCCTCCGCTGAGTGGAAATTGACTGGCGCTGCACAATAAGGACATTTCTCTTCCTCTAATGAGGTTTCTGTGCTATTACTTGATCTGTGATGAATTAGAAACATAGAACATATGAATTTGAAACATTCTAGTATCTATTACCAAGGGAAGAAGAATGTATGTGAGAAAATTACCTCGTTAGACTAGATTTCACTTCTACGGAAAGTGTTTCCAGCTGACTATGGACAATATCGCGATTTATCTCAACCCATTGTTGCAACTGAGCCAATCCAGCTGGACACCAATTCCAAGAGGAAGGCGAAACAGTACCCTGAGATGACTCAGAGAGTAGATAAGCCGAGAAACTGAGACCAACCAGTCTTTCCCGGAGTTCTCGTTCACTTTCTTCAAGCAGTTTGAGCCACAGATCAATTTCTTCTTCATCGTTCGTTCTCTGACCTTGAAGTTTTCTGTTGATTTCCACTGTTTTGAGCTCCGATAACATAACACGTCTAGAGGTTACGTTGAGAATGTGTAACAGCCTGGAAGGAACAGCAGAGAAGCATTTGGTGATCTTTGGCACCAGATCTTCCATGGAGATATCAGCATGAAATCCGAGGTATGACACAGAGAGCCATTTGGTTAATACCAATTCAACAAACTCTGGCATTGATTGTTTGAACGCCAGCATTGCAGCTACCATATCCCAAAGAACTAGAGGCTTATTCAAATCTTTGAATTCTTTCAACGACCAGAGAAAATTAGATTCCCAACATGCGAATTCATTTTTTGAGAATCCCAGAATAGCTTCGGTTACCGTCTCTGAAGAATCTTCTGACTCACCAGATTGTTGTGCACCATTCCAGAGGAATTCTACAGCAGCCTTCTGCGACCTGAAGGCAAACAAAAATGAACAGTCAGGTTTTGTAACGAGCAGGACACAGAAATGCTACTTAATGAATAATAATCACCTGGCTTGGTACATCGGATTCAAGAGTTCAACGTTAAAGTTGCGGACCTGCAAAATTTCAATGAGAAGTCTTAGTTATCTAATTCTGAAAAACGTGATAGCTTACAGTCACCACGAACCAGGTTTCTGGGAAGATCATACCAAAGCAACAGCAAGGTTTCCAGGGGACAATGCCACACCAAGGCATGACAGGAAATCATCAGGAAGCTGCGGAATTATTTCATTGTTTGTAAAGATAAACTAGAGGTAGGGATAAACATCGAGACAACATTAAAAACATAACATAGTGACGTACATCAGTCGTGCTACTGAGACCAGGAGTGTTTGCAGGAATTGGCACTTCAGAGATGGTATTCTCACACAAAATCCAGTTCAAGACATAATTATCCTGCATGTTACAAAAGAGTAATGCAACCTATAGCTAAAAAGAATTCGACAGTAGTTGATAGATCACAATGTAGCTCATAGCTTAGTTTTTTGGTAAGAAAATCATGATTGTTTGTCTCTCACAAGACAAGCAGTACAAAAGCTGTTTTCACAGAGCAGAAATATAATACCTGACTGCAACTGTACAAACAACGGCCATCATATGACCAAGCTAGACCTGTAACCTAAAAAGAGTGCCATATGCATCAATTAACGGAACACTTACATTGCATTTTAGAAAAAGGTTTATAGTAACAGAATAATGTCTTACCACTTGGTTATGAGCATTACTTGAAACAATTTGTTCAAACTTTCTTGTAGATATTTCACACTTCCATACTTCAAAAGAACCAGAGCCTTTGCCGATTGCCAAGTGCATTGCATTATAATGATTGCTTACAACAAAAGAAAGTGTTGAAACCTGAACAGGATTCACCGCTACAACCTATAAATACGCCGGAAAATGTCAAAACACACAAAACTCTTAATGTTTTTTTTTTGTTTTTTTGATAAAAAAACTCTTAATGTTTGCTCGATGAAAACACACTTACATAGAATGCAATTAAAGAGAAAAACGGACAAATCATGATAGACTGATAGTTTCATAAACAAGGAAATAGATACATATGGAGTCAAAAACACAAGGATCTACAGACACAAAGCGCAATATAAATTCAACTTTACTTACAGAAAAACTTCAGAAAGGATCGCAGTCAAAATTCAGGATAGTCTCAATCACAATCAATGCAGATATCACAGAAGCTATACTCAATCTGTTCCTATTCAGAATATCAGACAAAGTAGAACACAGAGAGAAGAAATTAACTATCACCTGTTTAAATAGAGAGAATGAAGATTTATAGACATCCACAGATTTTTGCAAGTCTTCGTTGTTGCTCATCCAAATTTTTACACTGCAGAAAGTGCGGAAAGAAATGGTCAGGAAAGTGTTATAAAAAAGATTCCATTGCGAAGCATATGCAAATGAATGGACATTAAAATGGCTTATTTCCAAGAGTGAGAATTTCAAAGAATTTCTAACATTTTATGTTATGTTTAACAAATACAATTTGTTTCTCGTAATAGAACACTTACTTACCTACCATCGCAACTCCCAGTAACCAACACCACTTGCGGATTCAAAGAATCACAGCCAAAAATTCCCCAACTCATAGTTGAAACCCATGAGCTATGGGCCTGAATTATAGCATGAAGTTCCACCATGGGAGATACATTAGTACGTTCAATGTGATAGCATTCAGGTGCATGAACTTTCCATATGGAAACACTACCGGACTTTGAACCAATTGCCAAAAGCGAGAATCTTAACATATTCTCACTAGAAGAAATTTCTGATGAGAATCTTAGTAGAGATGACCAGGCTACGGAAAGGGAGGATAATAATGCCTCACGAGACACATACGTTTCTGGACTTATCTCTTGACTACACTTTTTCAGAGCTTTAGGCAAAGAGTGACAATCTTGGCCATTGCTTGCCTGTTTATATACTTCAATCTCAAGTACCTGGGAACATAATGAATCATGTTAGATATGAGTACAATGCGATGATTTGATTCTTACTAGATGACACTTGAGAGTGAGAGTGTCAAAACTTCTAAGAACCATATGGTGTGAGCGATGCGTTAAAGGATTCTGGTGGAATTCAAAAGCATTCCATGATTCGAAATGCATCAAATCAATGATGGTACAATATAACAGAAACAAGTTAGTGAAGAGATAAGAGGAGATACATTATGCTCTGCTTGACTGTCTTGCTTGGAACATGATGCTCGATCTGTATAATTCTTTTCATGCAAGTTGCTAGAACGAGTCACAGATGAAAGTAAGTTAGTAAAGTGATCAAAATAGATGGAAAACAATTTCTCAAACCACTAGTATGCATCTGAGGAAATTTAAAAGTGAAAAAATGCTCTTTACATGTTGTTTGCGCTTGTTTTTCTTCGCTTGCGTGCCTTCAGACTTGAAATCCTTTCATCGTCTTCATGGTGATGTTCTACCAATTGATCCTGTGATAAAAGAGCACAAATCATTTCAACAATATATAGTTTGGATCAAAATAATATGCTAGAGATGTAAATGATTATGCAATACCTTCCACCACAACAATTGTCCGTTAATAAAGGATAACAAAAGATTTAACCGATTTGTTAAGATGAGTCCTTATCAAAATCTAAAGGTGAGAGTACGATGTACAAACTATCTACATATCGCTCCCTTATAGGAAACACATACATTATATAGTTCGCCTGGAGTAGTAAGTTGTCCTTCATGGTGATCAACTATCCACTGAAAAGTGATTAGTTAAAGATACAAGTTACCTTAGATAATGAAGTAGAAGGATTGTTGGACTCTCCAAAGTTCATGCTTGATAGATTCTCATAAAGCATTTTAGATACATCAACAATCTGCAAAACCGATGAAAGCAACTGTAATGCATAATTTAGTTATAAAAGGTAAAACAGAATTTACGACTTACCTCAATCCACTCAGCACAAAAATCAGAATATGGAGGTCGGTATAGCTTAACCCTTCCTTCCGCTGTGCAAACAGCCAGTAAGCACCTGACCAGAGTTATTTAAATCACCAATTTAGGAAATAGAGAGACTAAAAAAACTCGAACCGTGAGAGAGATCGAACACATGGATTCGGAGAAACTGTATAATACCCGTGGTTGGGAGACATTCCTATCTCAGACCATGAGAGAGATCGAACACATGGATTCCTTTCCCGCTTCAAACTCGAAGGTAAGAGTCCACCAGTCAGCAAATCTACAATCACATCATCACTCAAATTGTTATCCTAAACCTCAAATCAACAGAAATTTGATCAACAAACACAAAACTTCATGTTCCTGAACACTAAACAGTTGCAAAATATTGAACTTTGATCTGCAAATCTGAATTGACACACATAAAGGAAGGATTTTGAAATTGATCTGAATTTTTTTATCAATAAAAATCAAACCTTGAGAGCGAACACGACCAATCTGATAAGGCTCAGCGTCAGAGATTGTGATCAATCCACGAGGTCCAGAAGGCAAAGCCGGATTCTGACAATTATAAAAGTCGTCAATACAATTTTAAAAAGACTCAAACTTTAACCTCAAAATACGAAGCAGAAGAAAACTTACAATGATGATGACTAGATGACCAGCAGCGACGGCGATGAGATTTTCCGATGACCAAGCGACGGCGTTAGGATACGATGGTGAAGTAACAAGTGAAGCTTCCTGAAACCGCGACGCCATCAAATTGACTAAGAATCTCTTCTAGATCCGTTTGAAGATCAACTGAATTTTTTTGGAGGGAAAAAAAAAAACTTGCTCTGCTTTGCTTTGGCTTAAGCTTTGACAAACGAACTGATGAATTTGATTCAGTACGGAAACCCTAGTTCGAATCGCAGTGACGCAGATGCGATCCTCAATTATTTTTTTAATTTGTTTATTTCTATCCGAATAAAAGGCAACGTGCTCGTTCTTTAAACGGCGTCGGTTGAATGATGGGCTAAGCCCAAATCATTTTGAGTCCACTAGAGAATATTTAGTGAGGAGACCATAGTTCGAAACGCAGAGACGACGAAGGAATTCTTAATATAATCTTAAAACGGTGTCGTTGAGCTTTAGCGATAAGCCCAAATAAGTAAAAACTTCAAAAATTAAGGGTTTTGAAGCCGCGAGAAAATATTCGCCGTCGCCGATGTCGGGAAACAGAAGAACTTGAGGCAAAAAATTCAGTTTTTTTTTTCCGGTGAGTCTGAAGTTCTGGAATTTTAAAATTCACGACTCGATTACCCAATTCTCCGTCGGCTAAAGGCAACACAATGAAGCACATATAAGTGAAAATCAATAGGAACATATGTATACAAGTTATAATCCTGCAATTGCATTGGCATTGGATTGATCTGTTTGTTTTCTTGAATTAGAGAAAAGAGTAAACTTTGGGAAGAAACAATGGGAATCATAGAAGAAGGAATAATCTCAGGTACCTTGCCAAGCAAGGAGGCGTTTGTAGTACACTTCCCTGGTTACCCATCTTCTATTTCCCGAGCCATTGAAACACTTGGAGGTATCCAAGGAATTTCACAAGTAAAAAATCTCTTAACTTTAGTCTTAAAAGTCTCTTCCTTTTTACTGAAATTGTCTTCATATGCTAGTTATTAGAGCGATGTCTATATGTTGTTATTTGTTACAGTCTTGGTATATGCATCCATATGACTTTTAAAAGGAGAGATTTTTATTCAGTTTTGAGTCTTTTTTTTTTAACTGGGTAGGCAAGGGAATCAATTTCAAATAAGCTTGAGCTGCGTTTCCGGCCTGAAGATCCTTATGCACATCCTGCATTGGGTGAACAACGTCCTTGCTGTGGTTTTTTGTTAAGAATTTCTAAGCAGGATATCAAGAAACCTGAAAGTCAGCCTGTTCTTGCCACTAGTAGTGATGTATGTTTAGAGGAAGCTAGTACAGTTCTATGTGCAGATATCATAGCTCGTGTGTCTGAATCGTTTCACTTTGATGGTAACAACTTTGCTCTCCTCTTTTTGCTTGGTTCTAATGCCTCTGAAATTTTGTCTTCCATGTGAGAGTTGGTACTTGATAGCTCATATTTATAGTGTTTCAAGACTTTCTTCTCTTATTTGTTGTGTAGGCATGGCTGATTATCAGCATGTTATTCCAATTCACGCGGACATTGCGCAGCAGAAAAAGAGAAAGTGGATGGATGTTGATTCCCTTACAGGTGATTCACTTGCAATTATTTTCTGTTTTTCAATTTATTCGAAATTTCTGGTGTGATCACCTAAATTATATCGGATATATGCAGGAAACAGTGATTTGATGGGCCTGGCTGATGAAGATGTGATGATGTTATTGCCACAGTTCTTTGCACCCAAAGATATACCAGACAATGTGGCGTAAGATTACACTGCCTGTTTCTATTTCTTTCAATTTTTATCCTTTCTTATTCGGTGGAATAGCCGTTTACTTAGTTGTAAATATATTTATTATTGTCGAGCGGTGAAGAAAAACATTAGTTGATTGAAGTGACTTCAATTATAGAGCTGATTTCAATTTTCTTGTGTGATTACAGGTTGAAACCTCCGGCAACATCTGGTCCTAAAAAGAAAGATGATGCGGCAACTCAGAACTTTTATGAGGTAAAAATAAAGAAATGGAAGCATCTGAGTTTTCTAAATAAACTAAACACAGACTGTTGGTTGCACCTAGAAGATAGAGAATAGGTAGTTGGGAACACTATAGGACATATCTAAACTTTAAATATCTAAACTTTATCTATAGACTATAGGACATTATTTTCTTGCTGAACTAATTGTCTGGGACTTAATTTACTTGTAATCTTGAAGTTTTAGGAATTTCTTAACCAAACCTGCATTTCGATTTCGGTTACTAAGAATAGGTGGATTATACTAGTAGAGGTTTGGCATGATAGTCATTAATTTGCAAAAGTTATATCTCAATCATGCAAATGCAGTAGTAAAAATATTTGAAGCATGTAAAACTCTTGGTTTCACTCTTATGAACCATCAAGAATGCGTGATCCGTTCTGTTCTCTTCCGGATTTCAAAGATGCTGCGACCGCTTCCTTATAGTTTTGTCATAACCTAATAGATCTATGTCATGCTATTTTCTTTTATGATGCAGATTGATGTTGGCCCAGTATTTGCAATTGATTTCAGTGTCAAAGATATCCTTTTTCTTATATGCTAGTTCTTCTTCCGATATTTCTTTTGACATTTTTGCATCTGGCAAGTAGAAAGAGCCGTGTTGGCTTGTTATGTCCTTAACTTTCAATACAGATCCCAAAGAAACTGAAGTGGGAAGACTTTGTTTCTCGCAGCTCCAACCACTGGCAATGGCAGGTATCAGTGTCTGCATTGTTTGAGGAGCGGCCTATATGGACAAGGGATTCTGTAGTTCAACGACTACTTGATAAAGGTCTTAAATGTACACATCATATGTTAAACAGGTGAGATAGCTTTCTAATACGGGTTTCTTATACTGAGGTGTTTTTAGTACTACATTGATCAATTTGGTGTGTTCTCTGTAGGTTTCTGCTCAGGGCTGCGTATTATTTCTCCAGTGGTCCATTTCTTAGGTTCTGGATTAAAAGAGGCTATGATCCACGGAATGATCCTGAGTCTCGTGTGTGAGTTCTCTCTTAAGAAATTGATTTATAGATTCTTATTATATGGTTCTTGGTTCGTGACATTTGTTAGGTGAAATGGTAATAGACATAGATGGGTGCATAATGTTTAACTTTTGAATAATTGTGTTTCAGATATCAGAGAATGGAATTCAGGGTTCCTCCTGAATTACGGAGTTATTGTGATGCCAATGCAACTAACAGGTAAGTCTTTTTCTATTTCTGCGGTGAACTCTTCCTACATAAATGACACAGCGTCCTGGAGATTTAAGCCTGAATACTCTCTATAGCATTCTAAGATTGTAGGATTGTATCATACATTTAGCATGATTTGTTAAGAAATTTGCAACTGAACCATTGGATTTATGCAGGAAAAAGTCTGATTATATGTTTTTTCTTTTCTTTGCTACAGCGCAAAGCCAAGCTGGAACGACATTTGTGCTTTTAAGTTATTTCCTTTCAAATGCCAAACGTTTCTGCAGTTGTTTGAACTTGACGACGAGTACATCCAGCGAGAGATAAGAAAGCCTCCCAAGCAAACTACTTGTAGCGTGAGTTCTCAGCTTAGCTTTTTTTCATGAAGTAAATACCCATGAATCGTGGTCTTTTGCCTGTTGGGTTAGAGATTAATCGCACACAAAGTCACGCATCTACGCCAATAGATAAAATTTGGCAAGTCCTCAAGTTTATGATCTGATTCGTTTCTTGTTTGCAGCATAAATCAGGATGGTTTTCTGAAGCTCTGCTTGATACTTTGAGACTCCGTGTAGCTGTGAGGTTTGTGTCTGTCTTCCCTGAGCCAGGTTTCGAAGATGTATTTAAATCCATTCAAGAAGAATTTGAGAGGTCAGAAAAAGTACAAAGTCAGAAAGAGACACTTAAACCATCTTTAGTGAAGCACCGTGAGGCAACTAAAAGTAAGATCATCAAAAAAATTGTGTGTATATCTCTTTTAGCGTTTAGAAGTCTAGTGAGTGCTTTTTGATATGCCTTTGCGTTTGTAGAGTATTATTCGGAGTTAATCAAATCTTTAACAGAAACTCAGTAGACTCAAAAGATCATACTGCTCTATGAGTATATTAGATGCATATATATTATGTAGAAATTTGTGTAATAAGAATTCTGTAATGAGCTAAAGTAATCTTGATACATATCACATGCTACGCTTGTTGTCGTTAGTCATTGAACATGTTTTCCTTGAAGACTCTGAAGTAACAGCTACTGACAGTATTTTAATTTGCAGGCTCTGAAGACATGGAAAAGTGTAAAAGTGTAAACGAAGATGTTGATGCTAATGTTAACGAGGATGGAGATGATGAAAATCTGGATGACGAAGATGAAGAAGAAGAAGAAGAAGAAGAAGAAGAAGTCGATATGGTAATATTACTGTTAAAGTAAAGTTTTGTTGTTTTCTTCATCCGCTAGGATTCACCGTTTCTCTGTTCCTCTTCTTTTGCAGGCTGCAGGAGACAATGAGATATCTCTCGGTTCCCATGGATGTATCCTTCAAAGTTTAGCGTTTTCCTGCATTGCAGGAATTAAGCTATGTGTTTGGTTCTAACACCCTTTTGACACTCTGTTTCTTTAGATTTTCCTATACGATGATAAGATCTTGATACTGAGAACAGCTCCAGGACGTATCTGCAAGGCTTGTTCGATAGTTTTCCAACCAGTGAACCTGGTTTATATGGAGACTTTGCTGTTGATGATGGGAGTGATGGAGAGTTTCAGATATACGAGGAAGAATCTGAGGGATTGTATTCCATTGATGATGATCATAATGATGACGACGACGATGATGATGACTGATGCGTAAAGATCATCATTCCACACCACATGTACTGTTTCTTGTCTTCATCTATAATCTCGTGATTGGTAATTTTCACATAATTTCTGTTGTTTCAGGTGAAAGTATAAGGCTTTTGTTCTTATGAATCTTGGTCCAGAAATGACATCACCAGGCCTGATCAGCTCCATAAATTGGTTGCAAATTGCAACATAATGCTTGAAACTAAAATGTAACGTTTTAGGTTAAATACTCAATTTTGTAAACGAATCAAAGAAAAATAATTGTTTCATCTCACAAAAAAAAACTCATTGTAAGTTGTAACCATTACGATTTAGTGATTTACGCATATTCTACTGTAACCATTAGTGGTTCTATAGGACCCAAACAAAACCAAAAAAAACTTAGAGGTTATATTGATAAACATATTACTTATATAGGGACCGAAAAATAAAAACACAAAAGAATTGAATGAATCAACTTAAGGGCAATTCCGGTAATTCACATAAGTTAAAGGATAAAGTACAAACCCTAGTTTGAATTCTCACGGCCGACGTATCACTCATCTATTAAGCTCCTCCGAGTTTTGTTGGCTTCAGACCGAATCTTCTCCGGCGCTGTAGCGTTTCCCCGGTACGGAGTCATTCACCTCTCTCTCTCTCTCTCTCTCTCTCTCTCTCTCTCTCTCTCTCTCTCTCGCTCCTCTCTCCATCTCCCTCTCTCCGTTGTTTTCTCTGAGTTTGGTTTCTGTATGTTCTTGTTTGAGCGTTACGGGTCTTGTGAATTCGATGGTTTGGTGTTTCAATTTCGTTAATTGTACTGCTAAGTCTTGTTCCTTGGCTCTCTTGAGGTTATTATACTTCGCTTTGGTCGTGGGGATAGTTTTCTTGACTTCAATTATCTTTTTTTCTGTCGAATGTTCTTGAGTTGCTTAATGTGATTTTTGATTCAATTGAGAGGGTTTATACTCTGTATTACTCTTAATTGTTAGAAAGATTCGAAATTGATGTAATTACGAAATTGTTTTTTACTAAACTTCCCATGAACTATGAATTGGGAGATTTCTTTCTCCTGCATAGTTATAATGATTTTGTTGGTTCAATAGTTTTATTTATCCTCCTTACTGAGGAAAAAGTCTTACTTCCAGGAGATTCTATGTAATGATGATTTGTGGGTCGATCTGTATTCTAAGTAGTTGGTAACAGTGGATTTTTTTCTGTATGTTTGAAAGGAATAATGTTTGAGTAAGGAAGATGAACAAGGTAGATGCATGAGTCTATGTTACATGATGTCATGACACATGCTTTCTTTATGATAGATGGCAAGCGCTTGGAACATGAGCATTGCAATGGTTCATAGGGATATAGACAGGGAATGGGGAGATCAATGTGGACTTGTTTCATATTGTTTTTATTATTATTGGAGATTCATGGGAACCATCTGGAGAAAAATATATATTTCAAATTTTTAAGTAGCTTTTGGAGCACATTGGAGCAAATAAGCATTTGGAGCTTGTGGAGCACTGCTCTGACCCAGGATTGCTCTCACTTGGTTTGCTTCATATATATTTTGGTCTTACTATGTTTTTTTTTTTTCATCTATCTCATCTTGATGCTGAGGCTATATGGAAAGCTGTTTGAGTGGAGGTTCTTTGACTATAGCAGTAAACTTTGGTCCGTTATTGATTAGTTTCCTTTGTTTCCCCATGTGCAGTTTCCTCTTTGGTTTATTTTAACCTTCGGAAACAATGAGTGGGCGATTTTCTCGGTCAATCTATGTTGGTAACTTGCCTGGTGACATAAGAGAACATGAGATTGAAGATCTCTTTTACAAGGTGAGTTTTTGGTTATTTGTTTGACTCAATCACGTGTTCTCTATTGAATCATTATCCCTATAAGACAAAATGAAGATTCTTGAGCCTCTTTTGTATTGATATTTAATGCTCTTGTTTGCAGTATGGCCGCATTGTCGATATTGAATTGAAGGTTCCACCTCGGCCTCCATGTTATTGCTTTGTTGAGGTAACTGTATTCACTTACATTACATGTTCCTAACCAAATTTAAAAGTTATAGTTTCACTCAACCAAGTTCTGTTGAATGTTTGTAGTTTGAGCATTCCCGGGATGCCGAAGATGCCATCAAGGGCCGTGATGGCTATAACTTTGATGGCTGTCGCTTGAGGGTAATCAGTTACTTCCTTGCTATTTTTTCAGCAGAGAAGATGGGCTATGCTTCACATGTCCTGAACAGAAGAGTCCAAACTTTTCTGGCTGCTTCACATTACCTTTTGATATTTATTTTTATTTGTAATAGTTTCTAATCATTATGAATGCAGGTTGAGCTTGCCCATGGTGGTCGAGGACAGTCTTCAAGTGATCGTCGTGGTGGCTACGGTGGTGGTGGCGGCGGCGGCTATGGTGGTGGAGGTGGTGGTGGGGGATCAGCTCGGTTCGGCGTCTCACGACACTCTGAATTCCGAGGTTTGTGTTACTTGCTGTAAGAAGTTGGTATTGATAAAATTTGGTTTCACTTCACTTCTTCTGATTCTTGGATGGCTTTTTACAGTTATTGTGCGTGGGCTCCCATCATCTGCTTCATGGCAAGATTTGAAGGTCTGATGACACAATGTTTTCCTTGAATATTTGTTTCTACTCCCTAGTCTTGTTTCTCATATAAAATCCATTTTTTCAGGATCATATGCGGAAAGCTGGTGATGTGTGCTTTGCTGAGGTGACTCGAGACAGTGATGGTGCGTTAATTTACACTTTCTCATGCATATTTTCTTAGCAATATCTTACTTTTTCAGCTCTGAGCAGTGTTTTGTTTGGGATATTATAGTTATGTTTTTCTCTCACAACATGACTATTTTTAATAATATGATCAGGAACTTATGGCGTTGTCGACTACACCAATTATGATGACATGAAGTATGCGGTAAGTGAACTCTATTCTTCTCTCTTGCTGTATTGCATGCTATGATTTGTATATTTACTGATTTTCAAAAGTTGTGATTTCAGATAAGGAAACTTGATGACACAGAGTTCAGAAACCCCTGGGCTAGAGGTTTTATCCGGGTACCATTTCTCTGTGCAGTCTTTTTTTGTTTGCCCTTTTTGACCATAATGAACAGATTTTATGCATTCTGATGAAACACTTGCCTATATGCGACATCTTGACAAGGCCAGATATAATGTTCAATTGCAAATACGCTTCTATAAGTAATGAAAAGGGGACGGGTTAAACTAAGATTTGAAAGATAGAAGTAGAATTCACCTTTCTTAGGTTTTGGTTATCTCAAGTCACTCAACAATTTACTTTGGTTGATGCTTCATTCTCTCCCCTCCCTTTCATAAAACATCTGTGACTTTTGTAGTCTCAATTGGTTAGGCAAGAAATTGATGTTGACTCATTTAAAATCATGATCTCACAAGTTTATATTCATGTTATGTCTGTGTTTTCTGCTCATATGCAGGTTAAGAAATATGAAAGCTCCCGATCAAGAAGCAGAAGCCCAAGCAGAAGCAGAAGCAGAAGCAGAAGCAGAAGTCGAAGTCGTAGCCGAGGCCGTGGTCGCAGCCGAAGCCGCAGCCGCAGCCTTAGCAGAAGCAAGAGCCCAAGGAAGGATCTGAGGTACTATGTTTGTTATCAATGAACCTTATATATCTCCCATTTTCAACAACTAAAAATGGAGTGTTGTGTGTTTTTCAATCTTTATTGCAGTAAATCACCAAAACGATCCCTTTCCAGATCGATTTCAAAATCTAGATCGCCATCTCCCGACAATAAGAAGAGTTCCCCCAGGCAAGTTCTCTCCCTTTTTTTGTGTTCTCTCTCTCACTGGCTTGGTATTTTTATTAGCTCTTTTATTTCTCCTGTGACTAATGTGATTTGTTTTTCTTTACCGATTCAGGGCAATGTCGAGATCAAGGTCCAGGTCCAGGTCCAGGTCTCCGTCCAAATCTCCTCCCAAGGTAATTTAGCAATGTGTTTTTGAAAATATACCAAGTTATATGCAAATCACCAAACAGACAATCTAAAACAATCTTTTTTTCTCAGGTTCGTGAAGGCAGTGTATGATTTTGTTGGGCGGTGAAAAGAAAGAGTGCGAAAATTCTCAAGTCAAGATCCATTCTATATGTGTTTTTACTGTTTTCGGATAATTGACATCTTCTGCTGTTCTCTGCTTCTTTGCTCACAAAAATGATCATCTTTATACTATTCTCTCTTGTTATGTTATGAATGCTTCCGTGAACATTACCATACCTTTGAGTTTTGTATGGTTCGCCTGTTCTTGTTTAACACTATAAAGTCCTAGCGAACCCAGATTTCTTATCATAATTATGAAATAATTTGTTTGAAAATGGCATCAGATTAATGTAAAGTCCAGTGCGATGTTCAAAATATAAAAACTAATAGGTCCTCCTAAATGCGAAACATGCTAGTAAAAATTAACTATTTTAAAAGAGATGTCATAAGAGTATCATAATATGTATTTTTTGGATAAATAGAGGCTAGCTATATATATGTAAGATCCCCAACTTAGAAACAAAACAAGATGTTATAAAGTCTTATGAAGCCATAATCGCTTCCATAGGTCTCGCATCTTCTATATCTCTACAATAATTAATTGAAAAGTAGAAACGCACCACATTCAAAGTTAGGGCATTGGAGACCTGTAGTTAAAAGTTGGAATGATTTGTCCTAAACACCTTTAATGAATTGTTCTTCTCGAAATTTCTTCTTCTTCGTAATTAGGGGTATATAAGTCTAATCGTGTGTTGATCTCTATAATAATGTCTCAAACACCCTCAATTTCGAAAATTTTTGTTCTTAATTGTTAAGGGTATATAAGTCTAATCGTGTTTTGAGATGATTAGTCTTAATCACCCTTAAATTTTTTTATTTTATAGTGTAATCGTTGGGGATACGGATGTCATAATGTCTCGACTTTAATGATTATAGAATCTTAGCTTAAATTTATTTGTTAATTTTTTAGATAATTCTATATCTTAGTAGTTAATATTCGTTTTTGTTATTTTTCTGATTTTGTTTCTAATTAAAAAGTTAAATTTCTTAAGATAATAATTGATGTTTGCCCTAATCTTAAAGCTATATATATTGTTGATCGGCCAGAGAATTAGGTATTATTTTTTCTGTGCCCATTAGATAGTTTTCACCATTATGGTTTTTTTATACAGCTACGATTTTGATAAATCAAATGGTTTGTCATGCATATATTGTTTTCATTTACCTTTAGAGATCGTGTGCATATTGTTTGCTGTTTGTTTTATTTTTTACATTAGTTTGTTAATTTATTGTTTTGCTGATTTGATTCTTTTGGTATGTGTTTCAGTTTTGTAGAGCGTGGGAGGTTCTATCGACAAAGCTTTTGGACGAAAGTGGTGTTGATGATAACAGAACGAGGTTTGGAAAGGTATTTTTACATCTATTTACCTATTTAAATGTTTGTGTTTCTTTCTGTTATGTACAGAGTTTGGATTATGATCACGCGTGGATCGTTAATAATTTATGATCAATTGTGCTGACTGAGAGAAACTTAGATTTTTTTTTGGTTCTCACCGTTTTTCTAAGTTCGCTTTGAGAATTTGTTATATATTTATTTTATATGAGTAATTTTATTGGAAAAAATGATGTTTAGGGATAGTGTACACGTACTCGACGGGGGTGAATTACACCTAAGCTTAGATGTCTTCAAAAGGCCATCACTCACAACAACATCCTCTTCACCTCAATGGCTTCACGTAAGTGGATTCAAAATAATTTCTCTATATAATATATCAAGTTAAGTGAATGAACATATATAATGTAATGTTGTTGAAAATTGTGGTTGCAAGATATGTTGTGTTCGGGACTAAGAAGCATGGGAACGGGAAGATTGATGAGCTAGAGAGGTATATTGAGTCTTTGATATGGGAAACTGTTAAGGAAAGAGAAAGGGAATGTGTGGGATTAGATGACTACGAGAAGGTAATCTCTAATCTAACTATATATATTTGTATTTTAATATGAATTATTTATATGATTTTCTTTTTGTTTTTTTGAAACTAACATTAATTAATTTACTTTCTAAAATATACTGGGTCTCTTTTAAAGCTCGAAAAAAACAGAGTTCTCTAAAACGAGATCGGTCGAGATTGCATAGGTATGTCTATCGTGATGAAATTGTTAAATAGATATTGGGCTTTTAAGCAATTCAATCGCTTTAAAAAAATTTTGTAATCGTGAGAGAAAACTTTAGGGTTTGATTGTTTCAATTTTGATTTAGAATACGGAATTTTCGTTTTCTTTTTCTTTTTTTAAATAGTAAGGTAAATTCTAAATATATTACGGATATTTTTATCAAGAAAATTTCTAATTTTTAAAAATTAAAATTTAAGAAATAATTATGACGGTTTGCCTTAGATATTAAGGTATAAATATAGAGCTTCGGCCACACCATTAAAACTCATATTCGTTAACCTAAACATATAGTTTTGATAATATATATATTTTGTATTGTTTTGGTTCTAATGAATCGAATTTACTATGGAATGATTATGATTGTTTTCTTCATGTTGAGATGACACTGATTTCATGATTTAATTTTTTATAGATTCTGATTTCTTCAAATTGAAATATTAATTATTTTTACGTTTGTTTGCAGGTTGGATGTGTGGAAAGAACACATCGATGTTGAAAACGTTGGAATGCAAGCTAACACAGCCAAGATATTGGTCATGCAAAGATCTCTTATGATTCTGTGACTAAGAATTTAAGTGTGACTTGGGCTTATGAGCTAACAACCTCTGATCCTAAGGAGAGTTCAAGCCTTTCTTACATCATCGACCTCGCAAACCATCAGAAGTAATGTTTGGGTTTATAGCTGCTGCTGGAACAAACACAGAGGAACATAGACTTTTATCATGGGAGCTCAGTTCAACTTTGGATATCGAGAAAGCCGATAGCAAGATAGGATTGGTAGTTGGCATTTCGGTTTCCGGGTTTGTTTTACTGATAGTTTTGGTCCACACGATCGTGGTGGTTTGGTCACGGAAGCAAAGAAAAAAGAAAGACAGAGATATAGCAAACATGATATCGATAAACGAAGATCTTGAAAGGGAAGCAGGACCAAGAAAGTTTTCTTATAAAGATCTTGTGTGAGAAACCAACAGGTTCTCAAGCCATAGAGAGCTAGGTGAAGAAGGATTTGGAGCGGTTTATGAAGGAAATTTGAAAGAAATCAATACAATGGTTGCGGTGAAGAAATTATCCGGTGATTCAAGGCAGCGAAAGAAAGAGTTTTAAATGAAGTTAAGATCATCAGCAAACTGAGACATCGAAACATGGTGCAACTCATTGGTTGGTGTAATGAAAAAAACGAGTTCTTGCTGATATATGAGTTAGTGCAAAATGGTAGCTTGAACTCCCAACTCTTTGGCAAAAGACCCCATTTACTTTCTTGGGACATAAGGTACAAGATAGCTCTTGGTTTAGCCTCTGCTCTGCTTTATCTTCATGAAGAATGGGATCAATGTGTACTGCACAGAGACATCAAAGCAAGCAATATAATGCTTGACAGTGATTTCAATGTAAAGTTAGGTGATTTCGGTTTGGCTCGGGTTATGAACCATGAACATGGTTCCCATACAACAGGATTGGCTGGAACTTTTGGGTACATGGCACATGAATATGTAACGAAAGGAAGTGCGAGTAAAGAGTCTGATATATATAGCTTTGGAATTGTTTTACTAGATATTGTCACAGGGAGAAAATCACTGGAACGAACGCAAGAAGATAACAGTGATTCAGAGAGTAATGAGAAGAGTCTTGTGGAGAAAGTTTGGAAACTTTATGGAAAACAAGAAGAGATGACTTCGTCTGTTGATGAGAAATAGGGTAATGAATTCGATAATAAAGAAGCTTAGTGTCTTCTGGTTTTAGGGCTAAAGATGGTTGTCCACGGAAAAAAGCTCGAAAGCTTCGATAAAACAAACGAA